GATGTTGTTGATTTTTCTTTTATGCGAGCAGCTCAGGAGAATTTCAAAGCTGTTCTTAACACTCCGACACTGGTCTCTCAATCTCCCGTTGGAGAACCGCGAGCCTCCCCATGATGGTATCAAACTTCTGTCCCGTGGTGTTGTCATTCTTGTACAGATACAAACATAACAGATATAAGGTTATTATTTTTGTTTTTTATTTATGAACAGGCCGAAAGTCCTCACTGGCTCCATGTCATTAAGTCACACGCTGGTTCGCTATCTCTGGATGGACATACCTAAACACATCACAAATCCCGCCAATGATTCACTTCCTCGTAAACCATTGAATCAGGTACTGAAGCAGTGACATATTGAATTGAGCTTTGGATGTCACTGATCACGTGACTTTGACCAGACGAACCGAGCTTCGGCACTGTGCTTCTGAAGTTCTGTGTTGGGTTGTTGTTTTTTGTGGTTGTTTTTTCTGATACCTGGGCCAGAAATAATTGGTTTTAAGCCTGATCTAAAATGTAGAGATGGTCTGTCTCCTGAATCCTAAAATGGCAGGGGTCTTTTAAAAACTCTAGGAACAGCAAGTAAACCTACAGTCTGAGAGCAAAGTGCTCTACTGGGATAAAAAGGTAGTACCTCCATTACTGAAGCTGCTGCACTCAGCTGTTGCTGCAAAGTGGTTGGTGCCTGTGGTGGTGCTAAAACCCGAACCAGCATGGGTAGATAGCACTGACATTATAAGAGGTTTTATTCCCTCTGATTTAATTTTGGTAAGCTTAGCAGATGTTACTGTAGATGCTCCTGGGGTCAGTTTCTGCCTTCGTCTTCACAGCAGAAAAAGTTCCTCGTTTTTGACCTGCTTCACACAACATTTACATAAGTCAGATCGTTACAAAGATTTTGCTGTTGAGTTCAGTTTTTTTATTCAGTTTTTAAATAACTCACTGATTGAAATCAGAGGAGTTGAAGATAAATATATGCTTTGTAATACATCCTATTATATAGCGCTGCAAAGAAAATTTAAGATAAGATCATAATTATTGTAGGAAAAAACTGACAAACTTACCTTTTACTTCAGAGTTTTTTGATTAGAGTGGTCAATTGTGGCGTAGATGATATTCTCCTCTGGCTCGTTCTGATTAGAAACACAGTGGATTGCATAAATATCAATACACAGAACTCCGCTCTTGGGTGAGAACTTTGACATCATAAATTCCATTTTAGGTCAACAAAAATACTTTCAGAAACTACAATATGTTGCATTTCTAACAATTATCAGTTTGTGCATTTTTTCTTTACCCTTTTTCTGTTAAAAAAAAACTTTGGGGAATCTATAAAGGTGAAAATTCAATATGAAAGGATCAATGTGAACATAACCATAACCCTCATTTGTCTTTCTGACAGGTCAATGGGTCACTGTCTCCTGGTGGATCTTAATAGATTAATTTAACTTTAATCTTAATTTGGCTGTACTTTAACAAGTATGATCAGATTACCGCAGTTCAATAATCTGCCACATTAAATAATCAAGAGAATTTTCTTTAAATAGTTATGAGGAGAATCCTGGAAGCATGGTAAGGTGTTGTAAACTAATTCAGAAACTAAATCAATGTCAAAAAACAAGAATCTTAGGAGATTTCTAGAGTATAGCACTTTTTTTTTCTCTAAGTACAATTTTTTCCAAAAATTTGGAGTTTATCCTCAAAATGATCCATCATATTTTTAAATGCAGATTAATCAGATTAATGTTGATATCTATCTAATATAGATATTACCAAACTAGCTAATATCTACTATATGTTAATTGTAAATTTGATATTTCAAAGCCATAACGTAAAGATTTATCAAGGTAGCAATGTTACCTCACAGCAAGAAGATCCAGGGGAATTATTATGAATTACTTTGTTCAAGTGATGACAAATATTAAAGCTTAAGAATCATAACTTGGCTTTATTGAGTACCGCTGTACTTTTCAGTGCTTTTATTCTACCAACAGCTACTTAATGGGAAACACCTATACGTTAAGCAAGGCAGCCCTAGCAGAAACTAATAGACAGCATATGTGGACCCATTTGAAAACAAGATGTTACACTATAGTCTATAGGTTTAGCCACTAATAATAAACTAATAATTAAATGCAATCATAAAAAAAACCTGTAGAGCCGGAAAAGGGAGATTTTCTTTTTCATTTTCACCAAGTGTTTAATTGTTGGGGTCTCTGTGTATTTCTAAATGGAAATTATTCAGACATTACAAAAGAAAAAGAACCTAATGATGAAATCAGTATTGCATTAAAGCTTATGTTCATTGGGCCGCCTACAGTCTTCTATAAAAGGTTGGTGAAGACATTTGTCGCTGGATTTCTGTAAACAAGCTTTACATCAGAAAAGGTGATGCCATTTCCTATTTCTTATGAATTAAAAGGCAGAATTTCAGAGGAAGTTATGTAGTTACTATTGCCCAATTACCATTTAAATAACACAAGATCCTAAATTTAGTCATAACATTTTAATTCCATAATTTGGTATCTTTTGTGTAGATGTTGTTACGAAATCAGTTTCACCCCGGTTCTTTTATTCCTCGGGCATCCAGAGACGGCACCGGACTCAGTAGTCATTTTCACAAAAACCTTTATTAATCTTTATTCATCTTCATTTAAGCATGCACTTCTAGAAGGGGAGATGTGCAAGGCCAGTGTCCCTCTGCAAATCTTCCCTCCTTTGTCTGTGAAACATAGTTTTGTAGAAGCGACCCTATCATAAAACCCCCATGGTGTGCTGCAAACTTGTGTCTGTGTGTGTATACACGAACACGTGAGTGCCTGTGTGTGCACATACCCGTGTGTCCATGTGAGTGCACGTGAGTGAGTGTGCATGTAGGTGTGGGTGTGTCGTAACAGCCAAAGCACTGTGTGTGTGTCTCTGTGTACGTGACTTCCTGCCGGTCATAAAAGTAATCTCCTCACCCAAGCTAAACCAAATTCCTTTAGACAACATACAAAACAGAGTTAACAGATTACAAACACTGAGACCCCCACTCTGCATCCACTGGGCCATTGGCCCCTTGTTGTCTTACAGTTACAGATAAGCGTGTGGAGAGTCTCCTGCAAACCTACTTCTAAGTTTATAACAATTATGAGTTTTTATTAAAGGTACAAGCATCAGCAATCCCCAACTGTAGCTTCCTGTCTCCTTTTATGACAGGCAGACCCCCAGTGTCCATAAATTCCTGTCCCTCTAAACAATTACACACTCTCAGGCCTACAGCTAAGCCAAACTAAAACATACAGACAAATCCTTCCCTGTTCCTCTCATCTACTGCTGGACCCTCTTATCTAAGCAAATTTAACACATTATATTCTAATAATTATTTTCTTGTACTCACAATGTGCAATGCTGCTACATTTTATTCAGCAAGAAGAACTGAAACTGCAGTGAACAAAAGCCCATATCCTTATCATTGTGACAGTCCAAAGGCAGGTAACAATACCGGGGTGAATGACTGGATAATTTACCACAGATGGGGAAGAAATGTGGGGGATTATTAAAATGGAAATTCTTATATAGTGAAGCAAGGTCAGGTTTATTTGTCTTAGATGGGTGGGCAAAACCAAAAATCCAAGTCAGAAATAACAGGGATTGAGCGTGGTTATTATCTTTATCTGCTAACCCAGGCTCTCAGGCCCTCAGGCTCTGCTCTCATACAAAAGAGCATTTCATCATTTCATTTTCTGACCAGGTGAGTGCAACTCAGTCCTAGTTCAGGGATTATCTGAGAAGTATGATTATTACATTAGAGACAAATAATCTCTAATTTAACTCTGACACAAATAGTAAAGTGCTCATATTGACACAAAGATGTCGTTTGGTGTCCAAAGCTTACTTTGAAATAAGAACACGTGATAGAAATTTCAAATTTTTTGAGTTTTTTTTTCATTCACTCTTATGTCTTCAAGTGGCTTTTTGCATCCTGAAAAGGCAGAGAGCACAGCAATTAGATTCAAATGTCAGATTGTTTATCAGTGCTCTATCAGGATCTAAATCGTCTCATCTCTGTCTCTGAGGACAAAAACAGTGATTGCAGCCATTAGGATCACTGCTCCAATGCGAAGAGTCCACATGATGTAGCTCACAGGAAACTGATCTGTGTACTCTATGAAAAACAGTACAAAAAAATGTCATGCTTTTGTAACTTTATTATTAAAATCTGGTCAAATTAATGTTTGAACATTTGGAAACTACAGTAAATTACTTCTACAAATAAAACCAAAGCTTTATTTATTGAAGTGCATAATTCAGATTATTTTGAAATTCATTTAAGCTTCTTATCATACCTATAGGTGTGTAGTGAGCTTCTATCTTCACACTGTTGTTCTTGATATACTGGCAGGTGTATGTTTTGTTGTGGGCCCTCTGAGGTTTCACAGTCAAAAGAGAAACGCACATCGGTCCAATGTCCCTCGCACCACTGCCGAGCAGCACAGTTCCTGTTTCGTTCAACCAGACGATGCTGTTCTCGCCACACAATTGGGAGTCAGAGTATTTGAAGAGAGTGCACGTTAATGTGATGTATCCATCCCAGTTTTGCGTCTGAGATGCTGCAACTGAGAGAAAACAGGTGATAAAAGAAATCTAAAACTCTGTAACAGGTCCTCAGAACTTTTCCCACATTTCAAACAAATTTCACTGGATTCACTGGTGAGATTTCACTTTTAATCTGTTATTTCAGAGGTCGGCATGAATCTGAAACCTTTTAAATTCCCAAACTAAAACTGTTATATGATGTTTGGTCAAATCTTCGCCTCTTTCACAGTTTGTTAGTCTGCAGTTACTGCTTGCTGAATGTTCTGTGTACGCAGTTAATTTATTAAGACAAAAATGTAGTGAACATAACTGTAGTGTTTGGGAGGAGAGTCAAAGTGAAGAAAAGGATATGAGATTTGTCCAAGCTCAGAATCATTACAGTCCAAGTACTCACTGTTCAAAATATGCAGACCCACAATTGTATCCTGGGCTGTAGTGTTCCCAGACCAACACCAGTAAAGGCCAGCATCTTCAGCAACAATGTTCCTGATGCCCAGGGAGCAGTTACTGTACAGACTCAGTCTGGCTGCTTGAGCTGAGTTCTCCATAATAGCGCCATTCCAAACCATTTCTATTGTCTCAGAGTTATCTCTGTTATAAAACCACGTAATGATGGAGCATGATGAGTTCAATGAGGATGTGTTATCACAGGGGAGAACGACATCATTTGTGTAATAAACATCGATGTAGGTTTCACTGATGCATGCTGCAAAGAAATAAATATGTTTATTCTACTTTCTTTTTTCTTTGAATCCACGTATTTACCTATCAATCAATACCAAGAAACAGGAAACTTAAATGTTCATTTTTTTGCCCACAGCCTATAAGACTAATAGGAACCTCTCATACTCATGCTAATTTGAACTTTCTTTTTTTTTTCATAATCATTTCTGTGATGTAGGTTACGTTCCTTCACTTATTTTTCTGACTGTTATTTGAAGGCTTAAGTTAGGGTGGCATGATATTGTGATCATCAGCAATTGCTACATTTCAAATGATGTTATATTGCTAAATTATTTTCAGCCCCTGAAAATAAGGGGACCATGTATATAAAACCTGTATGATGTTGGTATATCTCATAGCAAGAAAGTCCTGGGTTTGAATCTGCTGGCCAGCTCAGGTATTTCTCTGTAGAATTTAAGAATTACAGCCATTTATAAATATGGTCCCCTTATTTTGAGTTAGTGAAAATAATTGAGCAAACTAACATAATTTGAAATATAGCACTTGTTTTTAACATTTAAAAATTCTTTGCAGTCAATGGCTGTCTGAAGTCTAAAGCCCATGGACATCAACAAATGCAGTTTTTCCTCCTTTGAGATCCTCTGCTAGTCCAGCCTTCAGTTGCTGTTTGTTTGTGGGTCTCTCTGCATTCAGCTTTGTTTTTAATAATGGAAAAATATGCTCTGATCATTTGCCAAGTCAGGCATCAGATCAGATGCCTGACTTGGCAAATGAATAACGCTACTGTGGCAGGATGTGGTTTGCAGCTCAGCTGCAGGGGAGGGGTGGAGTAGTGCATTCAATGGACAGTGCCAGGGAAGGCCTGCTGGCGCAGTTGATTTTCATCATCCTAACCACACCTTCCCTATTTCTAGTAGTTGCTGGGGCCTAGAGGAAGAGGCCCCAGAAACTGCTGGGGTTCTGGTAACGAGTGTTACAGTGGTGCCCAACTTCCAGGTGTGACATGTCAAACCCACAGGTACCGCAGCCAGTTCAGGTGGCCCAGATGATGGGCAGATGCAGGCAGTTGTGAATGGGAGGCAGCTAGAGGACCTGTAGGTCAAGACTGGGCGTGGACACTTCCACCAGGAGTGCCCATTCATGGAAGCCAGCCATGTGTTTGGTGTTGCTGAAGTCCCAACAGACTCCCTGGCTCAGGAGGCACGTACAGGGATCCAGTAAGGTCCCAAGGGGGTACACGCCAGGCTATTGTTGACACGGGCTGTACACAGACCCTTGTCTAACAAACGCTGGTTCAGCCAGGGAGGTTAGAGGCTGAGTTGGTGGAAGTTAGATGTGTGACATACCCAAATATCCCATAGTGCCACTGCAAATTAAACATAAGGGCAAGACGCATAGAGGAAAGACTGTGCATCCCTTAATTCTGGGGACAGACTGGCCAGGGTTTAATAACCTGCTGGGGCAGTGTGCGGGGATGCATGGCCTTTAACAGTATGTAGCAGCTGTGCTGCACCTAGCAGTGACACAGGCTCGTCCGGGAGAGGAGACAGCAAGGCCCTGCTCGCCCCAGGATTTCACTCCACAGGAGATTTCCTACTAGAACAATTTCATGATGACACCCTGCACTCAGCCTTTGACCAATGGATAAAAATTGATGGTCACATGGTACACCCTGATGCAGCGCTGACCTACCAGCATTTTGTACTGATCAGAGATAGACTTCATAGAGTGAGTCATGACACTCCCAGTTGTTGGTTTCTAAAAGCCGCCAGAAAATGATATTGCCGTCGGCTCTAAAACTCCATGGCAAGGCATATGGGATATGAAAAAACTCAGGTGGACTGGCATCTCTACTGCACGTTTTACCATAATTTTGAGTTGGTGCGATTAATGTACATAAGTTTAAGGATATAATGGTTTCATCTGTTGAAAGTTTTTTTTCTAAACTGTGCATGCCCTTGAAGTTTTTACCAGCTCTCTGACAGGTTTCTGTTTTTCTGCCTAATGATGTCCTCCATCACTTCCATTCTTCTATTTGGGCCTCATATTTAGAAATCCAGTGGAAAGCAACAGTTTGAATCAAATTAATATATATTATCTGTTTTATTCGTCATGAGATACAAAAGAAAGAAAAAAGTCTCCCCCGGCCATGAAACCACTTGCCAGTCAATTGTACAATTGCCTCTACAAAGCCTCTGAAAGTGTAAAACAGCTATGATTTCTGAACAGTTAATGCACAATTTTTATAAGATGCCTTTAAATTAAAGCCAAAAGTCAGCATTGCAATCACATCTTGACTGTTTGAATTAAAATCCACTGGTACTGATGTACAGAGGCAAAACTACAAAATTCTTATCTGTCCATAAAGTTCTTAACTCTACATCGTCCCTATCAAGACCTGTGAAAAGATCAGTGTTTTTCTAGTAGCTTCTATCCTGTCATTTGCACCTCTCAGCCAACTGAAGATGTAAACATTATTCTAACACTGATATGCAGATTTCATTCTATAATTAATAATTAATAAACAATAGAAAAAAACAGTAATAAACAAGGGAAATGTGCTGTATATTCAACTAGAATGAACACTTAATTGATTGCTATGTGCATAGCAGAATCTACAGTAGCCCTGCTTTGTGTGAAGCGCTGGATCATAACCTTTTCAGTTTTCTGTTGCGGTTAAAGTCAATGGAATTGATCAAATTAAGGTCCAAAATCTAAGAATACAAAGATGTTGTCATTTTGTGTTGGCAATTGATGATAATTTTCCTCATGGCTACAACAATTTAAATGTTCATATTTCATAGCAACATAGTCAAGCACAAAAGTAAGAAAATAAAATCTGAGTAATTACCTTCAAACTGAAGCATAAAAATCAGGATTGTTAAAAGTGAAGAAATGTGTTGTTGCATCTCTCTCTGCAGGCTCAAATTAGGCTCTCTGGCACAGAAGAACAGAAGTGATAACATTTCCTGTTCCTGGTTTCAGAGAAAAACTTGTGAAATAGTCCCATTCGTCACCCAATGTATCTGCAGTTTGACAGGGTATGTATGAATCTGAATGTGGGTCACAGTCCCTGGCATTGGGCACTTTTTTGTTTGATTTTACTGCTGTTCTTGTGCTCTACATTCATTTATTTTTTTATTGTTTGAGATTTGAATTCCCATTTTGATTTTGTTATTTTTGTAAGAGTAATTTCTAATGATACTGTTGAGTCTTTGTCTGTTTTACTGTCCATGTGTTACTCTTCCTGCTCTCTGCCTCATCTTTCTCTGTTCTGTAAAATTAGCTTTGTGTCTCTTTCTTGGTAATGATAACTGGACTTGCTCTCATACTGCTTTTTACTACAAACCACCAAGGGTGATCGTGGCTCAAGAGTTGGGTGTTCGGCTTATGATCGGAAGGTTGCTGGTTCGAGCCCCGGCTCAGACAGTCTCGGTTGTTGTGTCCTTGGGCAAGACACTTCACCTACCGCCTACTAGTGATGGCCAGAGGGGCTGATGGCGCGATATGGCAGCTTTGCCTCTGTCAGTCTGCCCCAGGGCAGCTGGACAACTGTAGCCTGCCTTCAATGTGAGAGTGAATGAATAGTGGTATTGTAAAGCGCTTTGAGGGGTCCTAAAAAGCGCTATACAAATGCAATCTATTATTATTAATTCAAATAGGCCTTCAAGCACTTTTTCTAGCAGTCACACACACTCACGGCTACATCCAGGACAATTAGGAGATCAAACCTAGTCAAGAGCAGATGGAACCTGGGACTGAACTACTAATCTTAGAGATCTCTAATTGTTAGAGAACAGGTTCTACTGCCTGAAATCAACAGGTATGTGTGGCGGCGGTGTGATCGCTAGCTAAGCTGCAGGGGAGGACTGGGGCAGTTAGGCTCAAGTGGGTGGTGCCAAGGAGGCTGGAGGGACAGGTGGCGATGATTTGCCTAACAAGGTTTCTCCCTTTTTATATAGTGAAGCTAGAGGGAGGGGTGTTCGCAGATGACTAACTCAAAAGTTGGTGAACAGCGTGCCGAAACATAAAGCCACATGTGTGTTGCTTCAATAAACACTCCTCAAGTGAACAGCATCACAGTCTGTCGGGTCAATCTTTACAGTATGATGTCATTACCTACTGAGCAATCAGTTATCTCGAAAAAAAATGTGACCATTCCTGTGAGTACTAGAGTTTGGGGTGGGGGGTTGATGGTATTATAATATCTTTTGTAGCTATTTTATGTATTCACACAGGGATATGATAGTTTATTAAATAAATTAAAAAATAATCTGTGAATGCTAAAAAAAATGAGGGCTCATCTCCTGCACTAACATCCTGACATAACGTCATCAGAGCAAACTTATATTAAATTGGCTCAACCAAAAAAGCACCCAACACTGGACACACTTAGACAAAGCTACCTCTAAATGCAGAGCATGCCGATGGTAAAAGTGGGATAGCAACCTCCTTATTCATGGGGGTCAAGGAAATGTGATTCAGAAGGAGGTACATTTTTGGATTATTCAATCCTATCTTTAGGGTTTTTTTCTAATTTGCGCAGCTTCATCTCCTTGTTCTACCAGTGACATGGAGATCTATGGAAGAAATATAGTGTCATCAGAATTCAAGTATTTTTAGACATTGAATTTATGACACTGAATTTTTATCCTCCAAATTTCCCTGCAAAAAT